CATCATCATCATCATCATCATCATCATCATCATCATCATCATCATCATCATCATCATCATCATCATCATCATCATCATCATCATCATCTTCATCTTCATCTTCATCTTCATCTTCTTCTTCTTCATCATCATCATCATCATCATCATCAAGGCGGCAGTTGTGGGGGTACTAGAAATCGCCAAAATACCTGCATGTGTCAATCACTGGAACACCGCACAAGACCTTGGTTTGGATAATGTTGGTTCACTTCAGCTGTTGAATATTCAGTATTATTCATTACATGCATATATTCGATACGCTTCTCTCGGCACATCTTTGAGGTAGCATGCATGCTGCATGAAAGGTGAGGCTAAGTTATCAGGATTGGTGTGTTTGTTTTTACCCACCATGAAGCTAGAATACAAAGGACTTCTTCACCACAGAATTCCTTCATACTCGCGAGACGTTCCAGTATGTTCTCCCAAGTGTGTTGACGTGAAAAACTCCCAGTGTGTTCATGGCTTTTGTTCCCCCTCCTCAGATAGGGATCTCATGTACTTAATATGAAGAGGCAAAACAAGGTCAAGAGCTCATGAGGATCAATCATGTCCTGTAGGGCAGGAAGTCTTGCATCTCCTGAACACCAACAGAATTGCTGTATCACTGGCGGACATGCTGGAGACCCTGTGTGTATATATACATAAAAAGTAATTACAGTATACATGCATATACACATACCGGGCCTCACGGCAGTGCGGTTTTGTATAGGTTGTTCAAATTTGACAAAGTTGTGACCCCTACAAAGGAGCAACCTTTTATGATGAAGATCAAGGATCTTCCTGAACGGAGGACCCCGTGGTCATATAAGTTCTTACAGTCAAAGTGTTATGAAGAATGAACATGGCAACAAAAGGGATAATAGCCTTGTAATATGGAAGGGAATTGGATCCGGTGGGATGCTTGCATGGCGTTTTGTCCATGTGAAGCATGGTGTTGGATGATATGTTTGTATCAAACGTGGGAGACTCACCAGTCTTGGACAGTGTCTTGGACCAGAAGACCGAAAAGCGCATCCCAAGCGGGGGTCATGGTCCACAGCTCAACCACCGACCACCCGGTGATGTACAGGGGGTGCGACCCATATCCAAGAACGAGACCCCTAAAATGACTCGGGCACTTTCATCAGCGGCCAAACAGCACTGTCCGAGCTTCCCATGCTGAAAACTCGACCTGCATCAGACCGCCATGCAGGCAGCTTCGTGGAGTACATGGCGGGCTGGGGCCGCAGCGTCATCGTGGGCCGCGCACGCTTGGGTGGAATCCCCATGGGCGTCATTGCAGTGGAGACCAGGACCGCCGCGTGACAGTCGAGTCGACTGTGGGGGATGAAACGGATGTGAGAGAAGGGTAGCCACTGGTGGGCCATGGCCATGGCTGCCACTACTATTTTAGATAGTAGATGTTAGTAGCCTGGAACCAGTTTTTGGTAGATTAGGTGTCCAAACCAAAAGGATCCAAAAAGGATCTTCAAAAGGCCACCAGCTCCGAAGGGAAGGGAAGGGTTGTATTTGGATGTGTTGGGGGGTCCCACTGTGTTGAGGGTCTCACCATGTGCCTGTCCTTTCGAAGATTCAAGGCCTTTGCAACCCCTGGATTGCCTGGACTGCTAGTCCTCCAATGAGGTTCCAGGGTTTTTTCATGGGTCCTCGTGTCTCCTCGTCCTCCGCCAAACACGCCGCCGGTGTTTCTCCTTTTGGTTCGGAGGAACGTGGAGCGGAAGATTCCAGCCGACCCTGGGAACCCCTCCAGTCGCGAGATCATTGAGCCACAAGCAGGGCAGGTGTGGTTTCCAGACAGCCGCTCAGGTCCCAAGTTCAGTTTGTTCTGACGAACACATTCTTTTGACGCCGGTGAACATCACCAAGCTTCTTGGGGGATGGTACGGTAGGTGGTACCCAAGTATTTTCACAAAGTAGCACCCCGTACTTGTGTTTGTTCTTGTTTTCACCTGGTTTCTGCTTGTTCCTGCCATCTTCCACCTTTTTCCTTTGGATTTGAACCCTTTTTCTCAAAAGTTCAACCGTATAGCCGTATAGTACCGTATTATACAGTGTACACTTTTTACAGGCACAGCACCGCTGTTTCAAGGTGCGTACAAGACGGCCACGGCGATCCGCGACTTCAATGTGGGTGAGAATCTACCCTTGATGATCTTCGCCAACTGGCGCGGCTTCTCTGGCGGCACCCGGGATATGTACGGATACTCAGCTGGGCGATGGCATTACAGTGGTTTCAGAGGTTCGATGGCACCCCAAGAATCCCCAAGATGTCTTTTTTATGGGGAACTATATAAAGATAAACTATCGACATTGGGGATTGTTCCATCTACTCTGTAACCACTGTACTACTTTCGCATGATGAGGTGCTTCCCCGAAGACCGAAAACTCATGCAGTCGAGGGGCAGTACATAGTTGTCCCATGTTGTCCCCCAATATCCCCAAATTATCAAAAAAAAATGTGTTCAATGTTGTTCGTTTTGAATGAGATGATTTTATATACATTCAAATCGGGATGTGTGTCTTTTGCCATTCAGAAAAGGAGAAGTGCTGAAGTTTGGTGCTCAGATCGTGGATGCTTTGGTGGATTACAAGCAGCCGGTCTTCATTTACATCCCACCGGAGGGAGAACTGCGGGGCGGCAGTTGGGTTGTGGTCGACCCAGCCATCAACCCTGACGTCATGGAGATGTATGCCGATCAGGCGTGGCACGTTTGGCTTTGTGCGATGCGTGGCCACTGTGGGATGGGGTGAACGTGGTGGATAATTATGGAGAATCCATGCCAAAGAGAGAGTACTGTAGGTGGCGGTGATGGAAGTATTTTGCACGGATAGATCTTGGTTGTGCAGAATATCATTGGCATAGTTTGTATTTGCTTTGAATATGCATATTCACTTTAGTTGCATATTTGCTTGGTTGGACTGTACAGGTGAGCACATTTGAGAAGCCGCCGTTCGTGATACGTGCAGAACCGGATCTGACAAGCCCACATCATGCCATCATCCCAAGAGATCCCAAGAGAAAAGCAAACAACAACCATGTTCTTTCACGGCAAAGCCAACAAAGATCGGAACGGCTTCTCGCTTTGTTTTGTCAATCTCGGTTTCTTCTCATCTCGCTTTGTGACGTGGTCAATATAAGTGGACCGGACCGTCACATGCCACCGGCGCCCCACCGCGGGTCCACGTCACCGTGGGAAGGACAGCAGGGGCGGCATTTTGGAACCTGCTGGGATCGTGGAGGCGGGGCCTTGGGAAGACCACGTTTTTGCGACGATCGCGTGTCTTTGATGTGGGAGCGTCGCCACCTGGTTCCATGACAAGTGTTCGAGACAGCCAACGTCGAACTTCAGTCTCAACAATGTGCAGCCGAGAAGGACCCGCAAACATGTTGCATGCGCACGTGCGGATCCGGATCCAGTCGCTTGCCCTTGGGTGATCCTGCTCCCCATGACCAGGCTAATTGTGTAGGACCCCAGCAGCAACAAGATCCACTCATGTAGGACCCTCATGTGATCTATTTATATCGATCCGAATATAATCCGATATCTTCCTTGTCACTCCGAACGTGTTCAGTTCACTTCAGTTCTGCTACTTTAATGGCTCTACCACGCAAAAAAACCCAAACCGCCCTACTAAGACCCCGCGTCGACGTGTCCCCAACTGCATGATGCACTGCTTCACGACCTCCGAGCACCGCCCGAAAAATGCACCGCGTCTCGGCGCCAACGCGGCGCCAACGCGGCGTTGAGGTGAAGTTCCGCGCGCCGCAGCGCCGGGAGTTGATGCACCGCTTAGATGGGAAGCTTCAACAGCTCGATGCGCAGCTGAAGGCCGGGCCGCGCGGCCAGGAAAAACGCCGCGAAAGACGAAGACTTGGGGCGTTCTGGGCTTCCGCAGTCTTTTTGGGGGGAACAGATGGAATGGACGAGAGTGAGGAGAGGGAGTGGTCAACAGGATTCCAGTCATTTTTGGGAGCGAAGATGGGTATGCATAAGTATGTGTTGGGGCAGAAGCAGATTGGAAAGGGTGGAAAGGCACATGTGGACCACAGACATGTGCGGACATGTCCGGACATGTCACTGTTTGATACGTATGGTTCGTGTTTTTATTCCCGTAGAGAAGTGCTCCAGCATCGCCGGTGTCGCCAGGCTTCACCTTCCGATGAGCTTCGTGAGGATCGATTCGGCGAGCCGATGTGATCGATGGACGCGCGCGGAGAGCCATTTTTGGTTTGGTGGGGAACTGAAACGACATAAGAAAATACACAGGAAACACATGTAAATAAACACATGTAAACACATGTGAAACATATGTTATTGATCAATCAACCTTGAAATGATGTGAACGCACAATATCAGATCAATTGCACCAATTCAACCAGAATCAAGTATTTAAATATTTTCACAACATGTTGGACGCAACCGATTCAAGACTTCTTGTTTGGTGCGCAAAAGCAAACGATCCAAATTGATTTCATATCCGTTCTGACCGGGAATGTTTGTTTCCAGCCAGATTGGATAGTACACAATTTGTAGTACTCATTCAATATGCGCACTGGCATTAGCTCTACCCTGAGTTGTCCAGTTGTCCATTTGTGTTCCGTTTTCAAGTATTATATAATATTATAATTGTATATAATGGAAGTGTTCAGGGCTAAAAGGTCATTATATAACTTGGGCTGCGGAATCTTGGGATACTGTTTGGAGCAGCTGGAAGCCATACTAGCTCATGTTGCTCTCAAAATCAAAGGTAGCCTCGCAGGGGTTAGTTTTGATATTGTTAATGGCAATGAAATGGTTGTGTTGCTCAGATGTTGAGTGTGTGTGCAGTTTAGATGATTCAATAGTATTCTCAGCACCTCATAAAACAGTCATAAGTTTGCAGTTTAGATGATTCAATAGTATTCTCAGCACCTCATAGTCATAAGTTGTCATAATAGTTATATTTGATGTGTTTGGTATGTAGTTGCATAGAATATGCCTCACATTGATGAGGAATGTGAGTTTTCTTTTTACACTGGTGGCTCTGGGGGTTGTACTTGTTAAATTTGTTCCATGCTGTGATCAGGGGATTCAAATGGGTTTAAGGCCTCCGGTCGAGAGAGTATTCAAAAACTCACTCTCAACAGGAAACTGTTTGTCTCACTTCTCATGTCCGTTTTGCCCGAAAAATGCTCTTTCTCCAGCGTAAAACACATTATTTAGAACGGCCCCATGAAAAGTAGCAAGGTTGGCTTTGTTCCAGACCTTTGGCTCTTTTGACCAATTCTCCAACGATATGCACCCATAATTGATCCTTCCCGATTTAGTAAGGTCCACCTTTTTGGTCAAACACGTCCTGCAGTACCAATCGCCTTTTTTTCCATTTCTTAACTCTCTTCACTCATCATTAAACCCACCAATTAGGAGAATCCACGCGACCTTCTGACCCTTTTGGGGGTCTTCTCGGCGGGGCTTGTTGAATGTAAAACGATCAACCTGCGCATGGACAAGAGTTCATTACATTTATGTTCATCTCAGGTTTGTCTTCCCCGCAAAGACAACGAGGAGTGTTCTGTTGCAGTATTATTTTTGTAAATTATGCGAACACATCAATGTTTGTACCTGGCACGAAAGCAATGACACCGACAACAAAAACAACAAAGCAGCGAACCTGAAATACCGTTCTGTGCATTGAACTGTGCTACGGCATCATGTGTCCTAGTTCCACACACCACAAATGCATGCGCGTTGCGCACCTAAATCTTGCAGCTAGTCAAAGTACGGTGAAACAACTAGGAAGAAAGAAGACGATAAAGCCAAAAGTGGCATGAGAAAAGGTAGGGTTGTTGTGACAACTTCAGTTGTGGGTGATGCTTTGGTGAGGATGCCTCACATTCAGGCTTGGCATGGGCTTTCAACGTGCCGGATAGATATAGACTGATACAGACCGTATCTATTTGTATGTCAGCTATGTTGTGCCAGACAAGTGCAGATGACTGACATGTGCAGATGATTGGAAACAACAAAGACCACGACTTGCACACTTTCTGATTTTGCTTCCTTGATGGACCCTGGCCGTTGGTTTTTTCGAGCCTTTTGGGCAAGCGTCCTGTGGGACGGATCAACGGTCTGCCCGGTTGGCCGTTTCTCTTCGGATGCAAGCCCGCCGTAGGGCTCTTCTTAGGGCTCTTCTCTTCTCAGGAGATCCAGCGAAGAGAAGAAATGCTGCAGCCCCTCTATACGCAGGCGACGCGCGAGTTCTCTCGGACCGTCGCTGAAGGGTGAGACATGCGGCGGTGCGAGCTCGGTGCGTCGCGTGGTGAACGTGGACGGGTCGTCGGAACGTGAATGTGAACGTGCGGCTTGGTCGGTGAGCCCGGTGGTATTACCTTTATTAAAAAAAAACAAAAAACGGACAGCATTGGACTAAACGAAAGTCATATTAAAACCCATTGAATGAAGTTCTCCCTGTAATGTGATTGTCAATAGGGATGAGGTCCCAGTATAGTCGCTATACAGGTACATGCCACATACTTTTGGCTCAAGTGCCCAACCAGGTAAAAAGGAGCTTTAGCGCGCGAGCTTCATGTTGAACTAAGGGCTAGAACGGGGCCAGGGCACACCTTTCCATCCGTTCGCAGGTTATCAGCCGTATCCAGGCTCCTTTGAGCTGGGTACGAGCTGCGGCCTTACACAACACCATCTAAACGCACACGCATCGGATAGATCAGTTACCCGCAGTCACTGAAGATGGACCAATCCGACGCCAGCACTGCATCTTTTGGAGCAGCTGCTGCGGCCGCAGATCGGGTGAGTGCATCCCACAACTCTAGTCCAGGTACGATCGAAGCGGAGACTCTGACAGTGGTGAGAGAAGGTGCGACAGGTAGAGCACGAAGTCGTTCCCCGTCAGCGCACTCGACACCACCGGGGGGGACACCGAGATCAGGCCGTAGCCCTAGGGAGACAAGGAGGAGGACTGACACCGGAGCTGTGAGAGTGTTAGCATTGGAGGATGGGTCAGCTGTACCAGTGCCGTCGGACAGCGAAGCTGGAGATGGAGCAAGGGCAAGCACTGACAACCTACAACTAGCACGGGCCGATGGAGACCTGAATGCGAAGTGTGCGCAACTACTTGCCGAAGTGCATATGTTGAACCACCAAAACGCATGGATGGTCGAATGTGAGCAGAGACAGAACCAGATTATACAACACGAGACCGAAGTCCACGAAGTAGTGATGGCACACCTCGAAGAATGTTATGTCGAAGGATATGGAAATCAACGAAGAATCACCCAACTTACAGAATCCAGAGACTGTTTGCTCTCGGCAGCACACGACCTGCAATACCAGATGGACACTGATCGTGTGGCAATGCGGGATCGTCTCACCCAGTTAGGGGAGTACGCTGATCGCAACAGCGCAGAGATGGTTAGTCAAGTTGTGAACATCGGCACGGAAGAGATCCAGGCTATATCGGCAGAAAGAGATCGAGCCGTAACCGAGGTCATGACTACAATCGCAGATGCTGAGAACGTCAAGGACCTGTGTAGACAGGAGTTAGTTGGACTACAAAGGCAGAGTGCCAGAAACAAACACGAATATGCTGAAGAGATGAAGATGAGGGAAGCAATATATGCAAGCAAGATCAAATGGTTATCAGAAGAGAATGAGGAGCTCAACAACCGATCTAATACTCAGGACAAGTTCATCTTGAGCATCAGAGAGCAATTGAAGAAGGCGAACGAGGAGTTGACTCAGACGAGGATTCAAAGATCCGATCGACCTTTTCAACCATCCAACGCCGAACTCAAGAAGGCCGAAGTCAAGGTGAACATGTTGGAAGAGGACATTCTACGTAAAGAGAGGATGCTGAAGCGTCTTCAGGAAGAATTGATCGAATCAAGCGCAAGTGAAGCACAATTGAAGGTCGCACTGAAGTTGAAACCACCAGACATGGGATCAGAACCCAATGTGGAGAGTGAGATGATGACCAAGCTTAGAGCGGAACTTGAACGTACTGAAAAGTCATTAAGGTCCGAGGAGAAAGAGGCAACTGAGTACTACGAAGGTATGATGCAGAACCAACAGGACATGATGGAATTCGAAGCGCATGCATCACGGCTCAGAGATGAGAGGAATAAGTACCGGAAGAGGTACGAAGAGGAGCGCGTGAGTGCAGAGAATGCAGCCGCAACCGAACATGGTGCCGCTTCATCCTCCAGCTCAGGTGGCTCCAAGATATCTCGGAAGGAACACGAGAAGATCAACATCCCTGCATGGCCCAAGATACACGACCTGGAGGTTTGGAAATCCCAGGTTGTTGCGGCAGTCGTGACGGCATCGGGCGACGAGAAACAAGAAGACTGGATCCAATGGCTCTCGGATGCCTTCAGATCACCATATGACCCATTTCTACTCGAGACATCAGGCGAGGCAAGATTCGCTAGCATAGACGCTAAACTAGGTATCACCCTACACACGATCATCCACGCAGCAGGTGAGAGATCTCATGACGTACAACTGAAAGTGAGACAGATGATGCAGAGACGTGCGAGAGGCACAACTCCTGGAATGGTCAAGGGACGAGAAATGTTAGCGTTGATCGTCGATAGTTTCCGGAGTGCCGACAACGTTGATGTGATGTATGCATCCAAGCACTTATTCGATCTAAAGTTCCCTGGGGATAATCAACTATCCAGATTCCTTGGACAGTGGGATGAGATCATATCAGGTATGGATGCGGATGACATGCTTCCTGACAAAGCACTTCGCAACCTGCTTTGGGATAAGATTAAGGATTCCAAAGTTATGGCGTTAGACTTGTCTGTGTATGACAACATGTTGGATAAGGACCCGGATAAGACCTACCAGAAGTTACGAGAGATCATGACGAAGTGGATACGGAAATCAATCGAGACCACAAACAAGAAAGAAAGGGAAAAAGCTTTTGGGAACATCGTGAAAGCCACACCAGCGGCGGAGAAGAAGGACCCTAAAGCGAAACCCAAGAATACCAAGGCCGATCCACCGAAACATGACGCCGCTCCAGTACTTCCTCAGGCTAATCCGAAGGACCACAACAAGAAGGACAAGAAGCAGGATCGTGGAAGATCAACCACGAAGAGCCCAAAGGGGGATCGTGGCAGGTCAGCGACTCCAGCAGATACGTCCAAGATAGGATGCGCTTTCCACTTCCATGGGAAAAACGGATGTTCTAGAGGAGACAAATGCAAGTTTAGCCACCAAGAGAAGCACAAAAGTTCTGCTAAGAAACCAGAAAGCCTCAAGGGTGACAGATCAAAGAGCCCTGGTGGCAGGAGCAGTAGCCCTAAGCCAATGAAGGATCAGGTCTGTTGGAATTGGCAGAAAGGATCGTGCAAGTTCGGGGACAAATGTCGACGTCACCATCAAGCTGCTCCTGCTACAAAGCAGGAGGCTAAAGGCAAAGCCAAGCCCAAACCGGCTGCGCCAGCCTTCATGCTTTGCGGAGACATCGAGAGTGATGACGAGGACGTACAACCCGCACTTCCCAACGTACAACAAGGTGAGCTGGCGCTTCGCTTTAAAGTCAGATTCGATGACCAGGCGAACGTGACCACGTTCACCTGCGACCCTGGTAACGAGCTAAACACCCGTCCCCTCAGGAAGAAGAAGAATGAAGTGCAGAAGGTGGATACCGAGTTCATTTCGTCGTTGAGAGCCCTCAGAGTGAGCAATATAGCTGCACGAGTAGCACATGCCAAAGGTAAGATGATGGAGCTATTCTCTGCTGAACACATTGCCAAGGCATGGATACAAATCACTCAAGATGAAGGAATCGAGGTGAACGTCGACCTGTCTGATTTCAACACCAGCGAGGTAGTAAGGAAGGATTCTGTCAACTACACGATACCAGGAGACACGATGTTCATGGCCGTGGAGAGGTATGATGGACCACCAATACGCTTCATCATGGACACGGGATGTGGACACGACTTGATCTCAAGAGAGAAAGTCAATGCCATGGGCCTTACCACCAAGGAAGGACCCAAATCCGTGAGTTTCATGACAGCGAATGGTGTAACTAGTACATCAGAGATGGTGGACATCAATGTGGACGAACTACCCATGAAGTCCGAGGCACACGTGTTGGAGAGCACACCATCAGTCTTTTCCATCGGGAAACGGTGCATGGAACAAGGGTACTCATTCATATGGCCGGCAAATCAATTGCCATACCTCATCGACCAGAACGCGAACAAGATTCCGCTATCGGTGCATGACAACATACCCTACATCAAGGTGAACGATGATGACGGGAGATGCTTACCAAGACCAGACGGCTTGGCTACGATACTTCATCGCATACTGTCAGGTGTGGGGCATGAAGACGAGGCCACAGCAGGTCAGGAGACACAACAAGAAGAACTTCCGCCCAAGAAACCACGGAGACGGAGGAGAAAGAAGAAAGATAACCAGAGAGATCGGAATGGTGAATCTGATATCAATCCAGCTGTTGCAGGCGTCGAAGGAGAACCAGAGGAACACGGTGATGACAGGTATTCTCCTGAAGAGGAATATGACGGGGAAGATCCGAGATTCGATCGTGATCACGATGGTCAACCTGAAGAAGCCGGAGACGACGAACATGGAGGTGATGCGGATTCTGAACGAGAGGAGAGTGACATTGGTGAAGATGAAGAGGGACTATTGGAAGTCGATGTGGTTGACGGGGAAGCCAGACTATCAAAACCAGGAGTGCTGAAGAACGAGGCGAAATCCATATTGCACTTGATGACACACCGATACAAGAACCCATACTGCAAGTCATGTGTAAGAGCAAAGATGAAGCACTACAAGACTAGCAAGGGAGCTTTCAAACGAAAATTGAAGGCATTCGGTGACCTTATCACTTTCGATCTCATGAACACTCAGAAGATGGCGAGAGATGGGATCATGCCGGATAAGGATGTACTGGTGATTCGAGATCGGTTCACTGGTGTGATATGGGGCTATCCATTGAAAGCAAGCAATAGTGACGAAGTGGTGCAGGCAATGAAGCACTATATCGGTAAGAGAAAGGTCACCAACGCTTACTCGGATGATGCGCCACAATTTGAATCAGCACTCAAGGAACTCCGGATTCCACTAGACCAGTCGCTTCCAGGACATCCCCAGAACAATTCACTCGCCGAAAGAAACAATCAGTTCATGATGCTTACCACATCGACATGCCTACTAGAAGCCGGACTACCACCATGTTT